GTGGCTGAGGCGGAGGACATGGTGATAAGGCTTCTCGTGCTTTTCGTCTAGATTCGCGGGCTTCTGGCGCTGATAGGGGCTGTGGCGATTATAGCGGCAGAGGTGGTGATAGCAGCAGCATAGATAGAGATCCTCGGGGTATGGGGGATGAGGACGGTAACGGTGTTTGTGGCGGTGGTGCAGTAGCGATGAAGTGCTCCTGATAGCGCCTTGACAGATGGTGATAATGGTCGCTGTTGTGAAGGTGTGCTAGTGGTGGCAGCAGCGACGGAGACGCTACCGATTGAGACGACACCTTGACCGGCGCCGGTAACACGGCCCACGAACCACGACTCGCGTGATGGTGGATGGGGTATCGGCGGGGACACGGCTGATGTGATGTGATAGATGTAATGGACGAAGAATTGATGGTGATGAGAGCCACGGCAAGAACAGCAGTCAGAATGATGGACTGCTACACGTTCAATTACCGCCGGACATCTGTCACAAATGCTGGCGGCGGGAACGCTTCCACTTGGTTCTTGGAGTGCCGTCACTAGAAACTCTTTCTGACCTTTTGACTTATTGCATTAACATCTCACACTTCTACTGCATCCTATTCTATCGATCTTTTGTCTCTATTCTCCAAAATCGAACGCTTTACCGATTCTTTCAATGCGTCGCCTGATACCAGGCCGTCCCAAGCAGGGTCAACCCTACGTTGTTACTAGTAACAACGGGGGGGGTCGTACTTGGTTGAGTTTGTAGGAGGAGGGGGGGGGTCGTACGTTTCAGTTTTTGAAATCACATGTTTGAGTTCGAGTTTGAGGACCATGAAAATGTTGAGGGGCGTAGGAAAAAAGTTGCCGTTTCAGCGTTTCAGCGCTCGTATATACCCTCCCCCCCCCTCCCTCCCCCCCCCCCCCGCTCGACGGCATTTTTGGAGGAAAAAGTGGGCGGAGTTTGGTGGGTTGAGTGGTATCAGAATTAAATACTATAGAGAGGATGATGGTGGTCGAGGTGTGGAAAAGGGGGTCGTACCAAATCCACCTTGGGGGAGGGGGGTCGTAAAAATTTTTCGAAAAGTAACAACGATAGGACCGACCCTGGTCCAAGGGCCTTCTTTCCATGCCCGGCTTCTTTCCTAATCTTAACAAGTCAATATTCATTGCGGGAAGAACGCAAGAATTTTCCCTGGTTAGGATTCCTCAATGAATAATCAAATGGCACCTGAGCGGTCGCATGTACCTGTCAAGGGTGCTCGAATTTGGCTCGAACATCGTCATACGTCAAATTCTAGACTGCCTTATTGTCAAGTTTTGATTTCGACACAGTACTCGAAATAAATCCCTTCTCCAGACCTGACCACACAAGCGACGGTGCCCTCCACAAAATCTACCAGTTGTTTGTCAACGGAATTATTAGCCAAGTGCAGCTGTATTCTATCAATTGACCCTAATTGCAATTATCACTATATAATTCATTGTATTTTACCAGCTATTTCTATGAGCTGACTATCAGATTTACATGTGCTTCGTCAGCTCTGCTGTGAAGCCTGCTGTGTAGACTCCCTGTCTGCCGCATACGAAGGGAGTGTATTTATTTGTTTATTTATTGCACAAAAGGTGCACCAACAGTGCTAGCAGTCAACAGATAGTCAAGAACTCGAAAAAGTATCTGAACTTTAAAGGAGGAATTCACGATTAGAATGAAGGTCGAAGAAAGGGAAACTGACCTAGTTGAGGGACCCACGGACCTCCTGAGGGTGCGAACTGACGCGCAATTCGCATGGAAAAATTTGACCTCGGCGACCTATCATGCCTCAAAGCTGGCGGGTCCGGCGATCTCCGCCCACCGATCATCTGATCACTCGCCGTAGTTCAATACGTGGCGAGTGATTAGATAGCTGAGAGAGCGTAGTGTTGAAGAGGGCACAGCGATGAGAGTCGCATCAATGCTCGAATCAACGGGCAAGGAAGGGGTACCATTTCTCGGGTTCTGGGCCGTTTCTCATGGTTCTTCCTTCTTTCGTGTACCACTCACCATCCCTAGGGTTAATTTGAAATGGGTTGCTTTTTCATCGTGAATTCGTCCTTTAAGAAAGAAAGCGAAAAACATTAACAGAACAGGAATAACACCAGTATTCAACCATGGGTTGAAGAAATAGGTCCAACACCGGTAATGTGTAGAACGCAAGTAGGTCGGACGCTAAGGAAAATTGCGTCAGATCCTGCTGCGACAGTTAGTTGAAGAAATAAGTACAAGTATACGATAATTTGTACATAGAACGCAAGCAGGTCGGAGCTAAGGAACTTGCGTCAAATGTTGCTGTAAGTTAACCTGCAGAAGACAGATTCAGTAGTACCGAGACAGACCAAGAGCTTTCTGATTCCCAAAAGAGGCTATTGAAAGAGCTTCATTCGATAGATTAAATAAATGTAAGAGGGACTTGTCATCGCCGCAAACACTTTTTGTGAAGGTAACCTGAGGTAAGCAGAGGAGCGCGGGTCAGTCTGGGCAGCGCATCTAACCCAACCTACTTATTTGTCCCCCAATATGTATTGAAAAAATTGGGGTAGGAGCATGTTTGGTGTTACGAGATTTCCTTTATCAAGCATACAGTTGCGCCAACTGAATTTTAAAAGGCTAAAAGTGGTAGCAAGTAAATTTTATTCTATTCTTTCTAGTACAGATATGTACACAAAACGGTTTCAAGTGAATATGTGCTCAGAATGATCAGCACAGGTCACAAGTTTTTGCACAGTACTGCTTCTTGATTGGTTCTGTGTAGAAGGTGCTATTGCAGAATCCATTAGCGTCCCAAACTGCGCATCTGAAGAATAGTGAATTTTGTGAAAATAAGAAAAAGAACGAGAAAATACATATACATAGAAAAATACCCAGTAACAGTAAGCCTGGAATAGAACTTGAAGCAAAGTGGGAAAGATGGATGAATAACGTCCACTCACTCTGTGGAATTGTCATAACACGTCCCTTTTGTTGTACCTGATTCACCACACCTATCACACGTTTTGGGGCAGTATCTGAAAAGGTTTCTCCATTATCTGCCATTCTAATCAGATCCTCTAGTTCACTACGAGCTGTGTTTATAATTACTCGAAGGCAAGCCCCGGGATAAAACTGGTATAAGCCTCGTGATTATGACAGAGCTGCGGATTGAAATGTAGTGGAAAGGAAAGCAAGAGAAATCATCGGAACGCTGAAATTAAGGCCTTAACCTTCAGTAAGGTCGGATGTGGTACGATGGCGAGACAGGGCGATCAAAGAAGACAAAACACGCGAGAGAGCACGCCGTTCGAGAGAGCACGCTGATCTCCACATCAATCGCGGTGGGTGGGAAGCGTTGCAACGGGGTCGATGGTTGCAGGCCCGTAAGGATTAGCGCCCTAACCGCGCAATTTTTGCGACGAAGCTGGAGTGATCTAGGTAGGTACGGACCTTACAATTTCCCTCGCGGTGTCCTTCCTACTAGTCGGGCTAATCCTGGGATCTGCCTTCAAGAGAGTTGCCTGGAAGAACCAAAGCATCGACTTGAACCTAAACTACATCAGATGGGGAGAGAAGTGTAGTATGAGTCATGTGCATGATTAAGGGTAATAACCTCCGAGGCACTTGCAAGCCTCAAGCGAGCAGGTACAGTCAAGTGTGGTGCAGCGTGGAAGTGCAAGCGCAGTGGAAGCTGCAGCCTGGGGCTGAAAGAAGTGGAGGTGTGGTCGTTTCGCAACGAAGGGTGCGCTAGCAGGCGTCCAAGGATTCAAACGTTTGTCTGCCCCGCTTTGCCTGCTTTCGCTTCTGTAAGTGAAATAACCGTATCATTCGCTTCCAGGCTTAAGAAATGGAAGCCCTCCGATTTGCCAATTATTTCCGCGCTGATGCGACCCTCATGTAACCTTTTCTCTGCCGAACGGCTAGAGGCTCAGGCGGCGTATCCGTCCTCGCGCGATAGCGGCGGGAGGATGGCTATGCTAGGTCGCCAGGGGCATATCCCTCGCTGCGACTTGCGTGTTGGATCGCGGCTTTCCCTTCTTTGACCTCCAACTTGACGTGGAATCCTCCTTTAAGCCACTTCCACTCCGAACACGTCGACACTGTACCATTATCGATGACTTTCGATGCCGCCAGCTTTTCTCGGTTTTAGAAACGTTTCCATTCGTCAACCCCATGCTATTCCTATCTATTGGTGGGAGCTTTCCTCCTTGAGTACAATATCCACAAAAGTGAAACCCGTGCCATTATTAAGACCCCAAAGTGAAGCACTGGGGGTTGCTACTTATTTCCAATGTTTTCATTTTTTTCTTTTCTTTCCACTGGTTGCCCATTTCTCACTTCATTGTTATTCTTTCAGCGCAAACATACCCACACTATAGGCCGATGTCAGACTTTGCGAATCGCGCGATTCGCTAGCGTCCGCGGTCGCGTTGCGGTACCAGCCAATTGAGTGATTCACTGGCCGCGACGCGACCGCAGACGCTAGCGAATCGCGCGATTCGCAAAGTCTGACATCGGCCTAAGTGGTCGCAAAATGCGCCCTCGATTCCGCATCGTGAAAAAGTGTTTTTTATAGCATTTAATGATTTCGGTTGTTATACATACCTTTTCATGAGCTCATCATAGCGCGGATCCGAACACTGTGGTTTCAATTTCGCACAATTCACATTGGGATCGTCCTCACATGTGCTGGCTGAAAAACAAAACAATTAATAGGAGGATGAAGTTGGTGAACCCATCTTTGCTGTGATCCGCGCATCTACTTAAAAACGATTTACAAAGTTTAGGACTAGAAGGCAGTCTACTATTACTGTTGAGGTAGAGGTTGTCAGTGATGCGGGACTGAAGGGGAAAAAACCATGAGAAACACGCCCAAAGGCCGAGTAATTGGACCCCTTTCTTGCCAGCTGATTTCCGCATTGATGCGCCTCTTATCGGTGCTGCCCTCTTCAGCGCTAACCATAAGGCTCTCTCTGCTAATGGATAGAGACCTGCCGGCGAGTGGTTACCCGGTCGGTGGGCGTGCTGCAGCGCTAGCGACGCTGGACGGCCTGCTAGATCGCCAGGGGCACATCCTTCGCTGGGATTTGGGAATTCCTGTCGGTCCGCATCCTAAGGGGGCATACGTCTTCCCATTCCAGACTCTTCTTAGGTAGTTTCCTTTTTTTTCGCTCTCGTACATATCTGTCCAAGCAGGTAAACCGGGCACAAATCAGACAACCCCTGGGGTTGAAAAGCTTGCAAAAAAATTTGATTTCAATACTAAACGTCTGACAACGACTGCTTGCATTGCTCCACCTCCGCATTAGTCACCATATAGTTATCATGTTTTCATGATGATGACCATAGCTATCATACATTAAATATTTCTTATTCCTACCAGCTCAACTTGCACTCCCAACGTATCCCACTCAGATTATCTAATGATCGCAGCTCTAAGAAGTTTTGTACGTAAAGAAATCATCTGAGGGATTTGCAAAAAGCGAACCTCTAGGCCTGAAATTACCGTGTTATCAAGTACACATTCCACCTTTGGTTTTGATTGAAGATCAAATGTAAGGCGCATCATGTTTCTTTACAGGTAACGGTAAGGTTATAAAAGCATAGTTTAGCTATTTATCGATATTGCTTACTCGAAATCGCAAACATTCTAGGAGTTGGGAAGAACAGGGTAGCAAGAAATTTCGTGCGCCACAAAAAGTGCCCTAAGCAAATGCCCGCAAACATTTGTTTTTTCGAAGTGTAAACCGATTCGTCTTATAAAAAGAAAAAATTTCCGAGATTTCCACAATCATTTTGATCCAGACATCAATCTGTTCCTTCATCAAATCGATGGTGCGACGAAATTTGGTAACATTTTTTCAAGTTCCACTAGAAGCTGGGCGGAAGTGGTGTAGTGACAAGTGGCGCGCTTACCACGCGAGCGGTCCGGGATCAAATCCTGGGTCGTGAGTCGCCCGGGCCAACCAAGCCTTCCATCCCTCCGGGGTCGGTTAATTGGTACCAGACTTGTCTGGGAGGATAAAAACACTGACTTGTACATCGGCTGGCCCCCGCAAGTCATTGTATAGGCCACATCGCATTCAAACGCCACTACGAATGTACAAATGGAAGTAGAATGCGTGCCGCATCCCAAAAAGGGATTGATCAACGGCAAATGCTTTATCCTTTATCCTTTTTCATGCTACTAAAGTTCTAATTCACGGATAACTTTGGATGTGTTTCAAACTCGAAAATTCTCGTCATTCCGTAATATTACTAACCCGGTATATTCCCCGCAGTTCGCCTCTATATTGGAGTTACGCTAAAATATTATAAACCTGTTGTTGGGAGAGACGTGCTCGTTATGTCGGCGATAGTCGAGGTGGTCTTTGGAGTTACTGTAGATGATGTGGTGTCAGCCAAGACGATATTTATTGCTGAAAGGAAAGTTTTTATTTCAATATCGTCCACGTAGAGAAGGAATGTACTCACTTTGAAGAATAGCTAAGACGAGAAGCACGAACTTCATTAGAACAATAGAGCAACGTCATGGCTTCAAGGGTTTTATACATGAACACCTTATCTGTGAAGTGGCGAGAAGTGCTAATCCGTAGGCGTCACGGGGGCGTTAACACCTTGTCCTTTGTTGTATAACATTATCAGTCAGATCTGTGGTTTGAGCGACACGTTTTTAACAGGAAATAGGGAGACAGAAGGATTACGGGGAAGTACTTCCTCAAGTAATGCTCTGTCCGTTTTTGCAATGAGCACACTTTAAATCTGTAAAGTGATAATAAGTACGATGGAGACATTCCTGTGACCGATAATTCGACTGTTTTGTCCGCCGATACAATGATTTGCTCGAAGAAGTACATATTGAGGTACAGATTCATTTTGAATGAAGACTGGGAGTGTTTGCACGTCTAGTGAAATCACTCAGCATCACAGCGACAAACCCGAAAAAATTTCAGTCCCTAGATAGGACAAGAAGGAGGCAGGTTACGCTGTGATTTAATATTAGTCATTTGCTGCCGTGATTTTTCTCCTCGATCTCGAATTGAATGCCTTGCTAACCGACCCCATCTTTTATCACTCCGGGGTGGTGTGGCTCACCTAGAAGGGCGATTGTTTGTCAGAACCCTTTGCGTACAGGACTGGTGGGCAGCATGTGACGCTTTCACATGTTAAGTTTGCTATTCCAGGTGCCTTCACCCACTTGAGCCTTTCACAGTATGAAGTCGTTTTCTGCTGCCAGTTTTGGCTAATCATGAGGGTCTTGGCTAGAGTATTTCTCGGAGTCTTCAACGTCATCGCTGTTCTTCATCACATGGATACCTGAAGAAGGTATCCAAAAAAGATGAAGGGAGGATGACTATGTTCATCCAGGAGACTATTATATGATTATTATAATAATGAGTAAAACAATTAGATGGAGAACCCGATCATTTGAAGTCGATTTTAATATGGAACACTTTTTATTTATTTTTTTGATTGAAAGCTTCTCTAATTTTCTATTGAAATCCAATTGTTTCAGGGTTTACATATGGTACGAAAAATTGTTGCCGGGTTGCTAGAGTGTGCACTATTCAAGAAAAATCCGAGAGAAAACCCTCAAAAGAGGGGCCCTTTTCCCTGTTGATTTCCGCCTCGGAAGAGTCAGTGACCAAACGAGCTCGTTTACTCGTACCAATCGCGATAGCGGTATCATGTCAACAAAAGCTTTGCTTTGAGAACGCGTAAAATAGAAAAAGTGAAAAATACGGTCGCTGAACATAAAGTGGCCTTCCAAAATGAAGAGCAAGGTACGGCGGAGGAGGTGGGCCGGACCACGGCAGATGGCGCTGGATGGGGTTGGGGTCAGCTACGGGGCGATGGCGCCCTTCTCGAAGATGCATGCTTCTCTCACAAGGGTGTCAGGGTGCCGCCGCCTTTTTGCAGTACGCATACCACTCGCCCCTGTTCCGTATTCCAGTTATCGTAAAATCTTTCTTTAACAGGCGCTTGGGAAATTCTACTTTTCGCCCGTGCTCCCATCCCTCTCGAAGCAGCAAGAAGTTGTCGAGTTGGCTCTACATCGATTCAGGGAAAGGTCGGTTCTTTTATTCGTCATAACCGCCGTCTTAGAAAGAATTTTTGCGATCAACAAACAAATCGACAACCGAAACACCATTCGTATAACTTCGTATAATCCGTGAAGTTCACGTCATATGCTTTACAAATTACACCCATATTTTACGATGACAAAACTGACGCGACAGGGCAGAAGTAAACGGGAAATTGTCACTCGATAAATGGCTTTGAAGATTCCTACATACGTAGCTCAAGGACAGTCTACTTTGTGGGTATTTTTTGACCTTCACTTTTGCTGAAGTCAAAATGTAGTTCAAATTTTGGTGTGTTTTTGAGGCGGACTTCTTACTGAAGTCGCACATTATTGAAACGAAAGAATAAGCAAACAAAAGAATCCTTGGTGTGACTAAAACTACAACTAAGCTCAATTCAATGTAGAAAGTCTACAATTCAAAAAGAAAAACAATCTAACGCATGATGAAAAACACTGAGCAGATTCGATACTCTTTTAATCCCTTAGAAGTCGACGAATTTTTATCAAGGCCAAAGTATGGACTCATCAATCAATGTCTACGGGGACAAATTGGGTCCCCTTTTCATTATCACTGAACTCTTATTTCTTACTAAAGGTACCTCTACCTTTTCCATAATGTTTCGATGGCTTTTCCTAAACGCCTCCAGGAATGCCAAAACATTGGTGAAGAAATGGTCCCGAGTTCGGTCCCCGGTAACGACTAATTTTTGCAGTACAGTTTGCGTGGCCCCTAGGCTGAGCGCCGATGGAATTCTACTCGTCGAGAATACGGTGTAATTGTGTCGTGTTTTGGCGGTAGTTTGGAGTATCCAAGAGAAATTGCAAAATTGATCAATGACCGGGAGGATCGAAACTCTGAAACCATGTTCTTCCTCCCTCGTTTTGTGAGTCGCTCACCGGGCATGTCAGTGAAAAAGTGGACCATCGTGTTCGCAGTCCTCACATAAAAAAAACTAGGTGAGCCATTTCGAAAAGACGGCGCCATGTCCTGGAAAGATCCCTCCTTGTTGCCGACTGTGAAACGAGTTTTGGTTCCTTAACCGTTAAAGCTCGAATGCTGTTGAATTCCCCCACCTTTCCCAAGCGATGCTTTTGGTCGCTCTATTGCTAGAAGGCGAATTCAGAAGCGTACAGTTATCATACATATTGACACGTCCACTCTTCTAAATAGCAAATAGATTCACACTTCTCGAATCCTGCGCTGATTATGTTCAGCATAATTTACGGGCTACCACACCACAGCCTCCGCCTAGTTTCACGTATGGCAGTTGATACTTTGGGTCGAAACGACTCCCGTCAGGACGCCGCACATACCTATTGCCGTCGCCTACAAGTATCTTGAATTTACTCTCGCTGCTCCAGGAGACGTTGGAGCCCTGTGAGGCAAGTCAAGCGTGCGTTGAGGAATCCTCGACACGTCGCAGGGGGGGGTCGTATTGGCCCGCTGGGTGGAAGAGATCGAGCCATTTTGATGCAGTGGGATCATCACCGTCGGAAGACAAATATCAAGGATGAGTCGATGCCAGGCCAGAGGATTTCCAATGAAAATGATATTTCACCCACACAAAATTTTCGTGATTCTGAGGCGTCCGGTAATTCTTAGTTACTTCAGTGTTTTATCACCACACAAAATAAAGAATCTGAATTTCGCACGCTTTCCAAGAGATATTTCATCTTTCAAGTAAGACCCCGAATCTGAAGGGATGTGAGGTACACGGCGCATCCGAGAAAGGGTCTAGTTGTTGCGCGCGCTTCAACTACGGCTCCTTGGACAAACAACCTCAATTCAGGAACAATCGAGAGAATTCTGAAAGTGTCCGTGCGCATTTACAGGGAGGTGTACACCATTCAACACTGCGTTAACGGACTCTTCAGGGTTAAATTTATAAACATGTAACCTTTAAAGTTGAGAAACACTGATCAATCACTTTTCTTAGAAAAGAGGAAAAGCAGTGATTTCAAATCTGCTCTTACTTTAGTACATAATCGCCCTTTAAAAGGATAAACAGCCGTTGAAATAGTGCCAATGTAGCGAAAAAGTACCTTTCGGCGGTACTCGTGCAAAATCCTCAACGTAGCCGTTTTTTTAATACTGGACGTTTGGAGCAGTTCTAGTAAGCATTTGATAGAGCAAATCTTCTAGTTTATGATGGCGTATTTACTTTTCGGATTGGATGAGTTTGAACGGAGTTATGGCTTTAGGAAGTAAAAAAACTCGCACTCATCACAAATTTTCCTCGTTAATTTTGCAAAAATCCTCAACGTGGCCATTTTTTGAATACTGGACGTATGAAGCTGCTTTAGCAACGTTTGGTAGAGAAAATCTTCTAGTTTTGTCTGCCATATTAACTTTTCGAATTTGACGAAAATGAAGCAAGTTGTTGCTTCGGAAAGTGTAAAAACTCGTGCTCATCTCGAATTTTCCTCGTTAATTGACCTAAATTTGTTATTTCTTATAACTTTTTGTAATTTCTATACTGATTAGAAAAAGCTCTTCACAAAACTTCCAAATCTGCTTTCAGATTGAAAATTCGTCATATTTGAAGAAAGTTATAATCATTTGAATATTTGTTCAAATTTCAATAGTAAATAAGCTGCTCCACGGTCAACGCCAAAGTCCAGTCAACACTCAGTTGGCGAAGGCGGTTAAAAAGCTTCTTTCAACTGAAGGGCTACGTGCAAATTGAGAACCACAATCTGTGTAGTACTAGAATTTGGTAAGTCTTGTGGAGGAAATAAAAAGAACAGATGTTGTCATAGTATGCCATTTTTAGTGGCTAGTTTGTCGTTTTCTGGTCTGTTTCTCGTTTGCTCGTTTGGTAGGACTCATCAATAATGATTATTCTTTGACTTTTTCACTTTTGTACTTCTTAAACGAATTTTTTGTGGACGGTGGGGTAGCAGGGCTTTTTTATGAACAGTTTTGGGGGAGAATTAAACAACCTTTTCATAGTTCGGCTTTTGAAGAGGGTTGTTTCATGGACTTCGGCCTCCGGCGGAGGGTGGGGGGGGGGGTCGTATTTCCAAATTTTCCTCAACGCCTCGCTTGACCCTGCTTCGGATCTCCAGTTTCAGTGTGCGTAAACGCATTCCATCGCCGACCAGTTCACCGTCCGATAACTTCACAGGACTTGTAATCAGGTGACGGCGGACGTATACAGTTAGGTTCCAGAAAGTGCTGTGTATCCAGACGTCTGCTACTCGAACGACACTACTTCGCCTTATAGCAATAGAACGACCTAAAGCATTGCACCTCTAGTGTGGAGGAGTGGTTTCAACAGCATGTTGTGCTTTTAACGGAGGGATCAATCCAGACACATGTCCTGAGCGCCATCGAGGCATCATGAGAAAAGGTAGGGATACCTTCTGGGCGGAAGTGGTGCAGTGACAAGTGGCGCGCTCACCACGCGAGCGGTCCGGGATCA